ATTCATCATTTCTCACACATTTTTAGCTAGCCAGAAAACCCCTGGCATATAGATTTTCTATTTACTATCAAGCCTTCTGCAACAAAAGTACATAGATTTTACGGGATGAATATTCAAAGGCATGAAGTTTAGATTCATTAACCTAATTACTTCTGGCAGAAGTTCATAAATGGGATGGATACCCGAAATTTAAAATAAACAAAAAAGCTTCCTACCTGTAATGAGTACATCAAACACAAGGCTTGATTAATTACAATTCCAATGCAGACGACCATTCACAAAAGTTTGAAATTACCCATTATGAAATTAAACATTCGTGAAATATTTTGCATTGTCAGTTTTATCAGATTGAACTACACTTAGTGAAGAAACAATTTTTGTTTTAAAGTAAGAAAAACCAAAATCCAAAATTGGCCAAACCAATAGCAAAATTAAGCTCCATATCCATCCCATCATCACAATTATCACTATGATAAAAATCAAGCATTACCCACCAAACAAAATCAAACCCATCAAACTAGATCAACCAAGATCACAAATAAGAAAGCACAGAAATTGAGCTCACCTGAGCAGTAGAAATCCTAAGCAGAGCTCTCCTGACTCTAGAGTCCATAGCATCAGAAATCCCCATTTGGATCCTCATTAGCTCACCCACCGTCATAACCCGCTTGGGCTTTCCGGGTCCCGACCCAGACCCACCGACCCAAGACTCTTCTTGGAGCCCGAACCCGGCGATTTGAGACGCAATACCTTCTTCATCCTGCTGGCAGCTACATAAGTGAGCGATCTCTGCAACACCGGCGAGCTGTTGGGCGAGTTGGCGTGCTGGGTCGGTGAGTCCAAGTGAGAAGAAGCGGAAGATATGTGAAAGCCAGGGCCTTTCCGGTGGATGTGTGGTAGGCGGTGACGAAGATCTCAGTGGAGCAGACAATATTATCGATTACGACTCTGCAAAGCAAAAGAAGCTGTGGTCGGTGGAGAGAACAAAATTTCTGAAAATGTGATATGGGTGCAATCAGTCGACAACAAAGATGTATTTATATGTGATAGTTTTAAAAATTTTGGGAAGGGGTGGCATTTTTAGTTAAAATTATGAAATGGGTGGCATTGGAAGCTATTTCCCATTTTAAAAATATGATTTTTTATTCATTTTTTTGGTTTTAATATAAAAATACCATTTCGTCTCTACATTTAACAGAAAATGTTAACAAAATTGACAGCAAGATCATTTGTCCAAACGAAACTAAAGTTAAAGGACCATGGGAACCATTTTGGAAATTGAAGTACTCAAATGCAAATCGGGTCAAAATTCAGGGACTAATAAAACGATTAGAAAGATTGTGATTCATGGAAATTTTTAATGTATATTGGGGCTAAAACCTAAATTTACTATGTATATTTCAAGTATGGATATATTTAAATTTATATATGTTTTTTTATGTATTGATATTCTGAGAGTAATCAAGTAAAGTGTAATTTCTAAAATATCTATAGTTTTGCACAAACAACTAAAGTTAAAATATCACTCATAAGATAAATTTATATATAGTTTTGTATTATAATTATTGTTGAGTGACTGACTTGGAAATATCTGTTAAGGACATCCTCAATATCCATTGTTAAGAACTAACTTTTAAAATCTGCAGCTTCCTCGATATCTTTTATTTACATGTAATACTCTAATTATTATTATTATTATTTATAATAGATGTCCGTTCCGCAATTTGTTTGTCTTGCACTTTGATCAGAACAATTCATCCGTTTTTTAGCCGTGTCGTCATAGCAAAGTACAACCTCCCACAACAAATCATCGCCGTTGACTCTATGGCAAAGAAGGAGAGGAGAACTGCGAGTTTCCATTTGAATAGCATTCATAAGCAAAACATCTTTATACGGCGTTGCGTTTGTTGGAATGATTTTGTGGTGCGCAAAAATCTCCTTGATCTTGTTTTCTTCCCACAAATCACATGCTTTTGACAAGTAAGTATTCTGGCTAGAAGACTTGGCACATGTACCGTGTTTTTCGTACTCCATCGCCCAAAACAACATATCATTGTCTTTTCCTTGGGCAACTCTCTGCTCCAGATTTGGCCAGGAATTTTTCATCTTCGATAGGAATGAAGCATTATTTTGCAGCTAATTAATTATATTATTATAAGATAGAAAGCTAAAATTAGATTTGGCGATATCAGATCAATCGATCATAAATGAAAACTGTAAATAAAAGGAATGAATATAAAGTACATTAAAGAAAGAATAAAAAGATTTAAGAAATTAAGAAATATATACGTACCATAGTGCTGCTAAATTTTGAAGCTGATTTGCATGTCAATATCTTGGAGAGGTTGGTTGGCCAGAGGCCGTGAGTAGTGAACTCCTCATATGGTTTGCACCGTTTCCCGACCTTCAAGCATTTCGTCTTCTGCCATTGTAGTACATATTGTAGGTAGTCGTACGGTTGCCCATGAGTGGTGATAGCTTGCAGAGAAACCGCTGACGAGCACAAGAAGGAGTAGTTTTAACATTGCCAATATCTCATATATTAATGGCATGCTGATGATCTGATATCTCATATATTATGCCTTCTATATATATATATATATATATATATATAAATATGCTGCTTAGTTCTCAGACACAGTATTTATACTAGAAGTTTGTGATAACTTTTTTGCAGTGGTTCGTTCAAGTCATGGAATACCTACCAAGCCCACATGTACTGCCATTAAGCGTGTATGGTGTTAGGCATGACTATATAAGCTAGTAATCATAACATCCACATGGTCCCCCACACCAAGCTTTGTACAGCAACATGACTTCCTCAGTTCACACAAAGATTTTAACAAACCAACCCTCAACAAGTTTTTGCCGCAAAGCTTATTAGATGGACTTTGCAATCCACCCAGTTTCCAAGGATTATGAAATACCCATTGTTTATCTATATTTCTCAGAAAATATAAGTATTTATTTCCCCATGTCTCCAAAAGTTAATTCCTTAACGAACATAGACCACTTCTGTTGAAACCCATCTTGTAATGAGTAGTAAATTCTTGAATAATGAGTCAAAATCTCCATCATATATTTCAAAAAAAAAGTTGTTGAAAATCAACAATTACACCGAAGAAAGAAGGCCTCAGTGTGGAGCGGCTGGACCCATCAAATTTGTTAGTTTTTTTTTTATGCGTCAAATTTTGTAGTTTTCAGTGTGAACACATATGATTATATTGCAGCCTGTATGATTTATTGTAATAGTTTTTTTAAAAGGTTTTATATTTTTTTTGTTGGTATTTTTCTGTTCATCTCAGTTTTTATTTTTTTTCTCTGGTTGAGGGCGGCTGAACCCATCATAGTTTTCTCTTCGCAAGTCTCAAACAGAGTTTTGCTTTTTAGGTTTAAGTAGGTTTTAGTTCTAAGGGCATTTGAGTCTTTTTAGGTGATTGTTTAGCTACTTTTGAAAGTTTTTATAAAAACTAACATTTATGAAAATGAGGAGTAAATTTTCTCTATTTTTGATAAAAACTTGTGTGAGAATATAATATACAAATGTGGCAAGAGTAGAATTATTCATTACAAAAATACCACATTATTATTATTAAACCATATAATACCATGTCCAATGTAATATTCTATTTTCATTATTACTCATTTAAAAATATATACCCTTCGCAATGCCTGCATCAATGTTTATATATGTACACAACACAATACTATAATTATTACTGAAGCATATGTCAATAGATTGAATGTTATGGACATTTTCTGCGGTTGCGTCATCTTGTGGCCTAGCAGCTTATTTCAAAGCCTTGATGAATAAGGCCATATGTCAATAGATTTAATGTTATCTATGCCTGCCGGCCGCTGCAAGAAGAGGCTACAACGGATTCAAGTGAATTCGCTAGCTCCTCTCTCTCGAAACCCTTTAAAGAAGGTTGATTGATTGTGGTTGATGACGTAAGTGCTTATCAAGATGCATCCATGGAAGCATAGCAATAGAATTCTGTAGATGGAGCCTATATAGTTTACTGTGGTATCAAAGCTTAGGTTGCATGTTTTAAAACCTAAAAAGAAGTTGATCTAAGCATGTTTTAACAATAACATGAAACGATTGAAACAAAAGAAAATAATCTGCTGCATACCATGCTGAAAATTGAATGAAGCATGGTTTTACATTTTCACTTTTCTATTTATGTAGATCTGTTAAGCATGTTTTCAAATATATGATTTTTGGTATCCATGCTTGAAGGCTAAAGATCAAGGTTTCAAGAAATTCTATATTAACTAGAGTGAGCCACAGCATCATAGTTAATTAAGGAATCTTGTATTCAAAGGAAACTGATCAAGATTGCATAGAAGATCGATGTAAATGAGGAAAAACTTTCTGTCCACAGATATTGGTAGTCTTGTTTACGGAAATCTACGGTGGTTTGATGGAAAACATGAGGCATATGAATTCATGGAGATTTCTTTACGTCCACAAATGTGAGAAATCAATCCATAAAAAAGAAATTCATTTGTCATGTGTTTTGGTGATTACTAAAACATGTTCAATTCTCAACCCATAGGTGTGAATTGATAATGTACAAAAAATGGGGATAGACATCATATTTTATATTTTACATATTTACAGTTAACCATAATTCAATCAAAACACTCATTGGCTCCAACTAAACCAAATGGAGAGAGGATTTGTAAATTGCTCCAGGATTGCTAGTCTTTGAGATGGTACTGAAAGAAGATCCACGCCACAACAACCAGCTACTAATGCCTCAATTGAGGAAAAGGCCAAATATGCCAAATGGAACCAGGCAAATAGAATGGTCATTCTCATTATGACAAGACCAATCTCACCCTTTGTGAGAGATGTCATTCCTTCATTTGACAATGCTAACGCTTTCCTTAAGGGAATTTGAGAAAAGTTTCGAGAATCTAAGAAAGCTGAGATAGGAAACTTGATGGGTCAATTGAAAGATTTGTATGATGGGGAAGGTTGTGTCAGGGTTCACATAGCAAAAATGCTCGACATTGGAAACAAGTTAAGATCCCTAGATGTGAATGTAGATGAAGCTATGATGGTGTATTTTGCAATCAACTCTCTGCCGAGTAATTTCAAACTTCTCAATAGCACTTACATTGCTCAAAAGGAGATGTGGACAATGAATGATCTGATAGGTATTTGTGCGCAATAGCAATAAGACAACAAGAAAGAGAGGGAACAAAATCATGTCAACGCAATACATGATATAAAAGGAAAGCCAAAATCATATGGAAAAACCTATACAACAGCAGGGAAAGCAAGAAAACATGTGAAAGGAAAACCTGTTGGATTGAAGTTGTTAGAGAGATTTCCTCTTCTCAATCAAAACTGATTTTTAGTTACACAATCTTTCTCAATCTGTTTGGGCCAAAATTATGCATGGCAACCCATTTTCGTAGAGAGGCCCATGAACCAAAAACATTTGGGCTTTCATCTACATAAATCAGAAGAAGAAAACCAAGACACTGGAAAAGCCCAGACCTTTTTTGAACAAATTACGAATGTAGCCATGATCTGAAAAGAATAAAATACCATTATTGGCAATTGAAAACTGGTACACACAGTTTTGGAAGCCCAGCTTCTGAGAAAATCTCACCACTTGGTCTCTGTCCCAAAAAAGGCAAAAATAGCAGATCTTTTTTCACAAAAAAGCCCCCACGTGACTACCTGACTTTGAAAAAGTCAAAATTTTCAACAAGTCACAAGAGAATTGACAGGGAATTAATGAAGGCAGGTCTTAAACATGCAGATGTCTCCAGTCTTTTCAGTCAAAAGAAGATCAAAATCCCTTTCTATATAATTCTACATCAAGACAGGCATTATTTCCAAGGGATAAGCAGACTACATTTTCTAAAGAGATAAGTAGGGTGTAGGGAGTTGTTCATCTGGAAAATCAAACTAACCATCACGGCAGGTTGAACCCTTGCAAAGAGCAGTTAGAAGTCGAAAAGGGATTAGGCTTTCTTTAAAAAAAAATAGAGAAAGAACTGACTATTGATAGCTTTTTGACAGAATAGATAAAAATCCGCTTTTCATTGACATATAAAATAAAAGATCTTGTCTTTAGGAAATCTGCCACCCATTATTAAAAGATTAGAAATCCCACTCTAGCATTTCCTATAAATTTGAGAGAAGGTGAACAGATCAGACGACAGCCAAAAAATCAATCAAACACAAAAACTGAAAATGATCACTTGATCTCAAAAATGGTCAAAGCACCGAAGCAACCAAAAGCTCATTGAGCCACAGAAAAACAAGTCAGCCATAATCCAGAATCTCTAACTTCAGTTCAGTTTTAGAGAAATAGTTATTCAAAGCAAGATTTCTCTCGTTACAAATTTGGTTTGGCATAAGCCAAATTAAGCAGAGTTCAGTTTTTACAAATATGAAAATCTCAACAAATTTATGAAGAGCCTTAATCAAGCAAAACAGGTACTACAGCTCAGTTCCAGCTCAGTAATCACCAAATCCAACCACTTCTGCCCCTTCTAGACTGAAAAGGTTCTAATAATGCCCATTCAAATAGCCTTCCAAGGCTCAAAATAGATTAAAACTCTGCCAAACTCGAACGTTGGTATCGATTTACAGCTGAAACTTGACAATTGAAGGTGTTGATAGTCCAATCCAACATAGACACATCCAATCCAGCTCGGATCAAAAGTAACTATCCAGGCAAAAATTGAAGTCCAATGCTCTTTTTGTCTTTTTTAGATTGGTCTTTCCCTTTCTAAGTCTTGTAAAAGGCAATTCTGCCTGAAACAGTTTACTTTCTTGTCATTTATTCTAGCCAGAACTACCAGTTTTGTACTGTGAAAAATTGTGAAGTCATCACCAGTCTGAGCCAAAGAAAAGAACTTACTTGGGAAGATATTCCTCACCCAAATTCACAATCGTTTGTTTAGAAATCAGTAACTTGGGGCGCAAGTTATCTATTTTTAAGAAGTATGCTAGGGTCTTTATTGCTAGTAGTAGCACGCTCACACACAAAAGAAAGTTGACTTTTTGACCAGTCAATGGTTTTCAAGACAATGGGGAACTTTACCCTATCATCACATGAACAAATCTAAAACGGGTGAACACAATCAAAAAGTGTAACTGAAGATCAGTTTGATTGAGAATCAAAACTGATTGTGTAACTGAAGATTAGTTTTGATTCTTTGTAATTATAGTCTTTAATGCTGTTTATAACTTCTTGTAAAAGTCAAACAAATCTCCTATATAGCTGTTCATTGTAAACATATTTGAATCAAGGGAAATCATTTTCTAACAGAAGTGTTTCTTTTGCAAGAAATTTGGGCACATGAAGAGATTATGCAGAAGATATAAGAAATGGCTGGAAAAGAATAAGGGTAAAGGAACTGATAAACCAGATGCCACCAAGCAAGGAGAAAAATGATCATAGATCAAATGCATTAAGTAGCTAGTATTTCAGTTGGTTTTGTTTTCCTTTTGAGCTAGTGTATGTAGTTTGCATTATTTCCATAGCAAGGAAGTTAGAATCATTCAATAGGATTGTAAAATCAAACTTCAACGAGTTTGATAAGTCTGTTTCGATATTCAGCAATAAAGTTTGGTAGACAAAGTTTTGATTTTGGCATATCAATTCAACTGCAAGTTTCTAAATAGCATTATCACAAACAGTGAAAGTGGTCATTAGTAAAGAAAACTTTTGACAATTTGGCACTCATAAAAGCAAGAATACAAAGACTTTTATAAAGCCTCCAGAATGATTGAAAGGGAAAAGTTTTCATTGACTAAACAATTTCATATTGGTAGTGTTGGAAATTATATATTATAATATTTAATTTTAATGTGTGAATGAAAACAGTTATTATGTTAAAATATGAAAAATCGCATAGCATACAAACTTGATGCAATTCAATCAGAGAAGTTGCATCTTCCCTTTTGCATGGGTGGCGTCAATTACTGAACAGCCACTATTGCTAATCCAAAAAGTCACTTGGGTTCTATACAAACCTAAGCTATGTGACATTCCAGAGGAGTTTTGATATGGAATTTTTCTCCACTCATGCTATGTTAGAGTATCAATCTTCAAGTTTCCTTCTTTAAGTGTCTTGAGAGTACAAATATATAATTGGTTTGCCAAAGACTTAAATTTAAGTGCTTCAATCTAGGATTATTGATTGTTGAATCCTGAGAGATAAATGCCTATAGAATTGCGAGCACAAGGGCAGGGGCGAAATCTGTCTTTAGGGCATTAATTGCAATTCTTGCAAGCCTCAATCGCTAAAGTTGTCAGTATTTCTTCACATTTGTGTTTGTTTTGTTGTGTATTTGATGGTTACAATTTTGTTGAGAATTATTATAATCATATTTTATATTGTTCTGCCCACAGGTAGTTCATATTGGGAAAAGTTACGGGAACACAAAACAGAAGTATTTAAGGGACTATAAGGAAAAGTTTTGAGTTTACTGCAGAAAAAACAGTAAAGGAATACTTAACACAGACATAAATGAGAAGTTTTGTTTTACCAAATGATCAAAGATGTTTTAACAAGACTGGTGTTTCAGAAGAAACTGTTCAAGCCAATTACACATATTGGTATTTCTCTCTCTTACAGAATCAACAAGAAAAGAAGCACTGCTATGGACAAATTGCAGTAGACTAAGTATGTTTTAAGTAAAATAAGAGGATCACACAAAAGAAATATGAGAAAGCAATAAGTAATGGAGAGGAACGAGTCTCAGAATTATTGGTATTAACTCAGGAGGTGTAAAACTCATCAGTGAGTTTACAGAACCAAGGAAATTCGAAAGGTGGAACAAGAAAATTGGTGGACAAAAGTTTCACACAGCAACCAACATAGTGATAGCTCACTGGACCTTTTCATAATTTTGGTAGTCATCTTTGACCTACACCTGCACCGAATGAAAGTTAAAACTCTACTTTCTTGAATAAAGAAATAAGGAAATTTATGTTATTTATAGGTGTTTTTATTCATTAAAGATTAAAGTAAAGTTCAAGATGCTGTAGAAATTTTGTTCATATTTATACATGAATATGAGACTCAGTGGGAGGTATTGAGGCATTGACAAAGAAAAATTGTACTGCGTATTACTCGTTTCAAGTGTAAAATATTGGAAATTGTACATTCTGATAGTGACTTCCGCGAACTGTCGGCAGCACCAATCAACAGCTTCCGAGTCATTGTCAACTTATGAAATCTGTCGAAGCTACTAAGACATGCCCAGATTGGTTAACATTGAAGAGTCTTATATAGCATCTTTTGACAAGAAGCAATTCAAGTTTACATGATGTTAGAAGGTTTACTTCAGGATTGTGCAATGAAAAGACAAATAGAGGACTACTGATTTTAACTAGAGGTTTGTATTGCATAAAGGTACTCAATAATCTTTAGAATTGGTAGTTTGTTTTGTATGTGAGATACTAGTTGATATTGATCCAATGAAGAACATGCACTAGACAGATTGAAAATACAAAAACAAGTTTTAAGGCCTAGATAACAAGGAAGCTCACTGGGTACATGCAGCTTATTGGACAGCAAGAAGGAAATCACTAAGGAAATTGTACACAGGTGAATGGGCATAAATCCTATTTACAGAAGAATATTGCTAAGACTCTCTGAAGTTGATGTCTGATTATATGTTTGGTTTGGTGGTGGCACAACAAATCCTATTTCGATATTACAGTCTGAGTTCATGTCATGATGCAAGATTACTTTGCATGCTACAAGACACAATGTTTTTATAACTTTATATTAGACTCAGTATCTATTCGGTTCTAGAATGATAGCAGTTAGTTTCTTGGATACAGTTTAGTGATCAATGTAAGCATTGCACAAGGTTATATATACAATTAGGACAAATTAGACAAGCACAAAGGCATTCAAAACCCCATCTAGAATAATAGCTTATTAAAGAATCCAACGCCAATATTAATTTGCCCAAGGTGATCCAACGCCAAAAATTCAATCTAAGATCAGCAAAAACTTCCAAACGTTAGTAGGATTGATATAGCTTATCAATCCCTGCACGTGCTGAACAAAGTACTTAGAATTTAATCCAATTTATGTTACAAAAACAGATAAGAGAATAGCCGGAGTCATTTGGCATGCATACAATTATTCAAAAGAACAAATATCTAAAGACTTTCTAAAAATGTCAAATCGAAGATTATCTAAAGGTTTTACAACAAGACATTTAAGATCCAAAGTTTCTGACACTCTTAAAGGTTAGTCTTTTAATATACGCAGCCCATATAGTTTACATCAATATCCCAAAATAAATACTGTTTTGACTCAGCATCCGTGGCTAGTTGTTTTTAAGCCACAAATATACCGGGCCATGTGTTTGGTGCCACAGATTAACAGTAAGTGTGTGGCTGTTACATCAGCAATGGCCACCATTCAGATGAGGTGGCTAGGAAAACAGTGGCTACAACTCAATTTTCTATTTAAACAGGATGAGCTCGTGCCGACCATTTGACACCTCTAAATGGATGGATGAATTACATTCGAACTTGGAGAACCAAGGCTAATTTTGGTTAATTATTGATCTGTGGCTGCCAACCAAAATTATAGATTGAAGATTGAGTGATAATTTCTACAGTTTTAAAAATAAAATACAAAATAAAAAAAATTCGGGATCTAAACCAGTGTTTTCAAAGGCATGCCTAGGCACGCGTTGAGGCGCGCTTCGGAGCGAGGCAGCGGTGATTCGCCTCAGGCGCAGCTCAGTTTAGCGAATGTCATGAAAGGCGTACGCCTTGAAGTCGAGGCGGCCGCTAAACGCAGATGCGCTGTGAAAGGCGCAAGCCTCGCGAGGAAGACAAAGTTCCTTTATTTGAAAAATCTGATTCCGGACGACGTCGTTTGCACGGGCTGTGTTGTTTCGTTTCCCTTTAGTTAAGCTGTGCGTTTTAGTTTTAAGTTTGAACATTAGACATGCACCGTTTTGTTCAAAAGAAACCAGCTTACCCATTTATTCCTTCCCTCTCCCAAAAGCCAAAGTTCCTAAACAGACCAACAGAAACTGCCTCCCACCTTCCACCATCAGTTCAGTCCACCTCCATAATCTACTCTTTTATCTATTCGAACTAGGTAGAAAGGCACTAGACTTAGAGAGATAATATAACCAAAAGGATATAAGGTAAAGAATTGAGCAATAGTAAGAGAAATTTTGAAAAAACAAGTTTGATGGTTAATTTATACTCTAGAGTGGCAGTCAATACATTCAATAGCTGTTTATATTTTTGTAATTATAATAACTCAATACCCGAAAGGCTTACGCCTCAACGCTTTGAGGCTTACGCCTCGCCTCATAAGACATAAAACGCCTCACCCTAGCGCCTTGCTTTTCAAAACATTGATCTATATGACCACAAAAGTAGGGTACGTTCCCTATTTTCTAGTTAGTGTTTGTTTGATGATATGTGGGGCTCAGAGTCAGTTATTTAATCATCTTGACATCGAATTTGTTGTTAATGGTGCTGGGTTTGGCTCAGAAATAAAATGATAATGAATGATAGTATTGATGATCTCCCAGAGGTTTTATTGGTTGAAATCATTTGTCGACTTTCTTGTATCAAGTTTGTTTTTCAATGCAAGTGCGTGTCCAAGCGTTGGTGTGAACTCATCTCTAGTTCTCATTTTGTTGGGCAATATGTACGTCGCCAACGTGATTTGAAAACGCCCATTTTAGGTACAGTAGTTGTAGACAATGGAACATTCTTTCGGGTGGAAAACGAGGATGGTCTGATGATCGAGGATGGTCTGATGAGTTTGCAGCTACCTGTTATTTCAGAAGCCGCAGCAGAACAAAAATTATTTGTGGTAGGGGCGTGCAACGACTTAGTTTTGTGCTGCCCAAGCGAACTTGATCAACGTGATTATTACATTTGCAATCCATACACCAAGAAATGGGTTGCTCTTCCTCCCCCTCCTCGAATCCATAATTGGGTAAGCGTAGGGTTCATTTGTGATCCCTACTACAACTACAACTCATCTTCCTCCTTCGATGATGATGTTTCCATTAATGCTGAATATAGGTGGAGGGTTGTGCGACTACGTCAAGAGTTCTATGTGGACATCTTCTTTTCTGAGACCGGTGAATGGACAGAGTCCGCTAATGTGGTATGCGGCCTACGAAATTATTTTGATATCGTAACTCCTGGCGTTGCTTGCAATGGGAAGTTGTATTTTTCAGGTTCCGATGATGAATCCTCCTATATTCTGGAGTTGGATCCCTTCCAAGGTATCAGTAATATCAGTGCTAGTAATGGTGATGGTGACGACGATCATATTATTGTTGACAAATGTCGGTTCAGTCTGGCACCTCTTGATATGTCGTCTGAAGTGCGAGGAAATTCCCTTGCGATGGATCGGGTTCTTGGTGCATGTCGAGGGCATTTGCGGGTGACCGAGTTTGTGCTTGGTAATCATTTGAGTGTCTGGGAGTTGGATGCAGACGATGATAATTTGAAATGGCGTTTGGTGGTCGACAAAGTTCCCTTCTTCGAGTTGGATTCTTCCTATTATGATGATGTTTCTTCGACGCCTCTAGATGAGTGTGCAAAAACTGCGATAGGTTTCCACCCGACTATTGAGGATACCATCTACGTAGATGCTATGAAAATTATCAGGTGGAACTTTGGTGCAGGAATGTTTGAGTTTGTTCCAGAGATTCGAAGTCGGGACACGAGTTGGAATCTCAATTACATCCACCCATTTGTGCTCCCATGGTGGCCCACACCCGTTCCTAGCCTCTAAATTATTCTACTATAGGGAAAAGTGTGTAGAGCTCTAGCTCTGACTCTAGCTTTGATGCATGACCACTTTCTTCCATTCTCTGGTTACTGGCTCCTTTGGCTTTGGCTTGTGTTTTCCCTTGATTGATGTGTTCATATTGGTGCTTCGAGGGTTTCGATTTTGGTGTAGTGGGTGATTATTGTGTGACTATCTTTGTATTTGCGCTGGCTTTTCTTTTCTTTTCTTTTTTTTTCGGTTGCCGATTTGTGTGTTCTGGTTGTTTTTTGTAGGTTGTTTTTTGTGTTTTTTTGGTTGTGTCTTGCATATTCATCCGACAATTTCCTTTAACTTGAATCCAATTTTGGACATCAATAATATGGTTGACAAAATTTCGTTGGTGTTTATGATATTTGGTAGTCAAAGTCTCCATAGTCTTTATTGTTTATATGGGGTGAGCGAATTTTGGAGAGAGCATGTCTTCGTGCGAAAATAAGATGAATGTCATATTTTTTTAACATAAGCGTAACAACAGTAGTTTAAAAAAATTATCTATAAAACTAATGTAATGTGTTATATTTTAGGTTGTAAGATAATCTAATGGGTAAGATTACAGGAAAATAATTTTAAATGCTTGCGCTACACTATATAGTACTTATACTAGTAATGGTGCCCAAGCGATGGAACAAATGGGACAAACACTCTTAACACTTATGCTGTAGTAGAATTCTTACCAATGAAGCTCAATGGAACAAATGGTTATCTATCGATGCAAGCTGTCATATTTGTAAGTGGCCTTCAGAATATATTTCTCATCTTCTTATGCACTACCCCAATGCCAAGCTTTGTTTGGAATTCCATGGGTCTTACTTTGCATATTCGCCAATCCTTTAATTATAATGTGTGGGACTGGATTTTCTTTAATGTGAGGGATAGCAAGAGCTGTTATAATCAATTGAGTTGGAATGTTATTTTTCATTTTGCCTTATATGGAAAAACCGCTGCAAAAAGGTCTTTGAGGATAGTCCTTCTCACATTACTCTCTCTAATCCTTTTATTTGTAAAGCTGCAAATGATTGGATTTGTGCCAATTTGAGTTCTCACTGTAAGGATGCCAAGGTTGAGGTCTTCCTTGCTTGGGATTTTCCTCCTGTTGGGTGGTGGAAACTGAATACTAATGGTTGCAGGAAAGGTGAGGAAGGGATTATTTGTACTGGGGGCTTAATTTGAAATGTTAATGGGGACTGGATTGGTGGTTTCTCTGCTAATATTGGGCTTGGTTTTGTTTTACAAGCGGAAATGTGAGCTATTCTCTATTGTTTGCATCTTGCTAATCAAATTAATTGTTTTCCTCTGATTGTGGAGTCCAACTCCCAGTTGGTTGTGGGGCTTGTGAATGCGCCTTGTTGTGATCCTCTTCACCCTTTATTCAGTCTTATCTCTAGCTGCAAAGCTATTATGAATGGTGGAGTGTGTCAAATTCAACAGGTTGAGGTCTTCCTTGCTTGGGATTTTCCTCATGTTGGGTGGTGGAAACTGAATGCTAATGGTTGCAAGAAAGGTGAGGAAGGGATTATTGGTACTGGGGGCTTAATTCAAAATGTTAATGGGGATTGGATTGGTGGTTTCTCTGCTAATATTGGGATTGGTTTTGTTTTACAAGCGGAAATGTGAGCTATTCTCTATTGTTTGCATCTTGCTAATCAAATTAATTGTTTTCCTCTAATTGTGGAGTCTGACTCCCAGTTGGTTGTGGAGCTTGTGAATGCTCCTTGTTGTGATCCTTTTCACCCTTTATTGAGCCTTATCTCTAGCTGCAAAGCTATTATGAATGGTGGAGTGTGTCAAATTCAACAGATTTTTAGAGAAAGTAATTTTGTTGCTAATACGCTTGCTACCATCGGAGTCGCCAAGCCTTTGGGTATTCATTTTTAGGATGATGCCCCTAATGTTGTGAACCATATGGTTTGTGTAGGGTTTCTTTACCTAGGCTTATTGTTCCTTAGTGTTTTTGTTGGGCGTTTGCCCTCCAGTTTACCAAAAAAAATAAAATAAATAAAGATAAAAATAAATAATATAATAAATAAAGATAAAAATAAATAATATAATATATAAATATAAAAATAAATAATATAATATATAAATATAAATATAAAATATATATAATAATGTTTCGTATATTTGTGTTGCCTAGTCTCTTAGGCCACCTCCAGTGCAAGGGTTTGGCCCAAAAAAAAGACAGCACTAGGTCCCAAACCCCCCTCTAGTGCGCAAGGTCAAGCCCAGCAAGGGGTAAGACCCATCAGCCTGGGCAAGCCCATGGGCAAGAATTGACTGGGCCATAGCTCGAAAGCTGTTAATGTCAGCGCTGACCCACAGCTACCAAAAACCAACGGTGTCAAGCCACGTGGCTTCTCCTGAAGCCTCCAATCCAACGGTTGTCCAATTTTTGGCTTCAAAAAATAACAAAAAAATTGTGAAATTTTTTTCTATAAATACCTACCAATATTATTCAATTTCCACACCAAATCTTCATACAAATTCATCTCCTTTTAATATTTTTCACTTTACACACCAAATTTTATACTACAAAATTTCATTTGTGGAAAAATACAAATGGCCTTTTCCATCAAAGTCGGATGGTCGTGGACAAACGTTCGAAGTGGTCAAAATCTTGGCGATGAGATAAAAAAAAATAAAAATTAATTGCCATTTTATTCAATTTAATGTCTTTTTTAATTAAATATTTCTTGCATTTTCAATTTTATGTTTTTAATAGATTATTCAAGGCAAAACAAAAAATAGGAGAACCATTACACATGGCTCCTCAAGTGAACAATGCCCACAGTTGATTCCAGTGGTACTTTCCGTGTAGAAAATAATGGCACTATTACATTTGGGATTTTCCTCATGTTGGGTGGTGGAAACTGAATGCTAATGGTTGCAAGAAAGGTGAGGAAGGGATTATTGGTACTGGGGGCTTAATTCAAAATGTTAATGGGGATTGGATTGGTGGTTTCTCTGCTAATATTGGGATTGGTTTTGTTTTACAAGCGGAAATGTGAGCTATTCTCTATTGTTTGCATCTTGCTAATCAAATTAATTGTTTTCCTCTAATTGTGGAGTCTGACTCCCAGTTGGTTGTGGAGCTTGTGAATGCTCCTTGTTGTGATCCTTTTCACCCTTTATTGAGCCTTATCTCTAGCTGCAAAGCTATTATGAATGGTGGAGTGTGTCAAATTCAACAGATTTTTAGAGAAAGTAATTTTGTTGCTAATACGCTTGCTACCATCGGAGTCGCCAAGCCTTTGGGTATTCATTTTTAGGATGATGCCCCTAATGTTGTGAACCATATGGTTTGTGTAGGGTTTCTTTACCTAGGCTTATTGTTCCTTAGTGTTTTTGTTGGGCGTTTGCCCTCCAGTTTACCAAAAAAAATAAAATAAATAAAGATAAAAATAAATAATATAATAAATAAAGATAAAAATAAATAATATAATATATAAATATAAAAATAAATAATATAATATATAAATATAAATATAAAATATATATAATAATGGTTTGTATATTTGTGTTGCCTAGTCTCTTAGGCCACCTCCAGTGCAAGGGTTTGGCCCAAAAAAAAGACAGCACTAGGTCCCAAACCCCCCTCTAGTGCGCAAGGTCAAGCCCAGCAAGGGGTAAGACCCATCAGCCTGGGCAAGCCCATGGGCAAGAATTGACTGGGCCATAGCTCGAAAGCTGTTAATGTCAGCGCTGACCCACAGCTACCAAAAACCAACGGTGTCAAGCCACGTGGCTTCTCCTGAAGCCTCCAATCCAACGGTTGTCCAATTTTTGGCTTCAAAAAATAACAAAAAAATTGTGAAATTTTTTTCTATAAATACCTACCAATATTATTCAATTTCCACACCAAATCTTCATACAAATTCATCTCCTTTTAATATTTTTCACTTTACACACCAAATTTTATACTACAAAATTTCATTTGTGGAAAAATACAAATGGCCTTTTCCATCAAAGTCGGATGGTCGTGGACAAACGTTCGAAGTGGTCAAAATCTTGGCGATGAGATAAAAAAAAATAAAAATTAATTGCCATTTTATTCAATTTAATGTCTTTTTTAATTAAATATTTCTTGCATTTTCAATTTTATGTTTTTAATAGATTATTCAAGGCAAAACAAAAAATAGGAGAACCATTACACATGGCTCCTCAAGTGAACAATGCCCACAGTTGATTCCAGTGGTACTTTCCGTGTAGAAAATAATGGCACTATTACATTCTCCGAAGGAAAATACTCCCCCACGTCGTGATCCGGTGGAACCGCCTCCGCTAATGATTGAGTCGTCCTTGTACTCGATTGTGTCGGACTATGAGGACTATGAGTATTTCGATTGTATGATGAGTGAGATGTGAATTTTATAATAAATGTGGACACGTGGGAACCAAAATTCTTATCCTAAAATTTAATCCTAAAATCTTATTCAAAAATTTTATCTGAAATTTGATATGAAAATTTTATAATAAATAGTGATATGTGGCAATTGAAAATTTTATTTGAAAATCTTATTAAAATTAATGGTTTAAGTATAAAAAAATAGAAAATAAATTAAAGTAAATAGTAATTGCCCTTGCCCTTACCTTTTTGAAGTTGAAACAAAAAAGGCAAGGCTGCCACTATTCATGTGAATAGTAACAAACATTGCCTTGCCTTTGCCTTGCCCTTGCCCTTTGGGGTGGAGGTGCGCTTAGAGTGGAGAGAAACTCTCATGCAACGGGAATATCACTTTTTACTATCCAAGGCCAATAACTCAATGACACGTAGAATAACTTTTTCACGTGTCATTATGTTATTGGTCGGAGATAGCAAAACAGTTGCAAGTAAGTTTTTTGGCTTGGAGTGACCAACTTTTTTCATGAGACAAATAGGTAAGCAACATGCTACTTAAGTTGTTATAGTACAATTTTGCTTATTTCATTTGCATTCTCCATTGGATATGCTCTTTCATGAGTGCCTCAAATTCCAAATATTTTAAACTTCGCCATTACTCCTCCTATCCCAGTTTTCAGAGAAAATGCATATTTTTAACTTTATGTCATTTGTTACAATAACTGATGTTAGGAAAATGTTCAACAAAGAAGGTGAAGTGTCGATCGAAGAATACAGTATCGACACGAAAAGAATAAATAAGGCAGCAGCAGAAGTAAAAGTCCGAGTCCGTCATTTCAGGTTAACTCTCCCAAACCCAAGTGTCATCCATCCAATCCAAATACCAAAATAAAATGATATGACAACTGCAGCTTCACAGTGCATCTTCTGCCAGATCGCCGGCAAATCCACCTCTACCACTCTCCTCCACACTGTCTGCTCTCTCTCTCTCTCTCTCTCTCTCTCGCTTTTACTTGGTTTGGTTGCTGAGGAAGGTGAGCTGCCAAATGGGTTAATCCCATTTCCTTTTTCTCAGTAACCAAACAGTGATTTTGGTACTTTTGTTGATCCTAAGGCTGTAATTGGTCACTGGGTTTTCCTGCAGGATGACAAGGTCGTTGCTTTTCAAGACATCCGCCCGGCTGCTGTAAGGTACTGGATGAATTTCCCCAATTTCCATTCATCAATATTTAGCCATTTTGATTGAAGTGAGAAAGAGAGAGAGTCAGATGACAATTTTGTGTAGGCATTACTTGGTTATTCCTGTGGATCACATTTCAACTGTTAAGGATCTTCAAAGGAAACCTGAAGACTACTCTTTGGGTAATCTAAATGTTGACAACTTTAGATTAAATCATACATGATTGAACAAATTTGGGAATTTTCTTGCCTTTGGTCATCAATAAATTTCGTAATCTTATATTCCATTGTTTTATTGGTATTCAGTAAATCACATGTTAGAAGTGGGGAAAACGCTAATTCAACGAGATGCACCTCAATGCCATCAGTACAGGTATTGCCTTGTTCTTGAAAATCTCTTTTTCTTAGCATTATTTTCTGGTTTGTAATTGTGTGCTCAGATAGATTGATCTTGACTTGAGAAGCTATTGTCCTAAGTTGCTTATACTAAAAATATATAGGCTTTCATGGAGGTACCCTTCATGTAAATTTGTGTTAAATTTTGTTTCAAGCCATTATGCTGTCCACATTAGTTACACACCTTCCAGAAAACTGCATTTATATGCATTTTAATTATTCTTTTATTAGGTTATCGTCCAGGAGCCTCTTTCTCTTATGAAAAAAAAAAGAGCAATGAAATTTTGGAAAAACGAAACTGAAGAATGAATACATTGTAAGAGAGAAAACAAAAAACTGAATAATCCTTGTTTTTTATACAGCATAACTTAACTGAAGTTTCTTTAGAACACTGTTCTCGTTCTTTCACCAAAGACTACATGCTTAAAAACTTGTTATTGCACGACCAAAGGATTCGAACAAAAAGAAAAATTTCTGCAATCATGTCTAGGAGATTGCTTAATGCAGAAATGGGCTGGTGAAGAATGTGAATCTTCATAAATTCTGTAATCTGGCGTATACCCTGACCAATTGGTTCCTTTGCATCTTCTTTGGAAGAGGATCTTTCTGTAATTGAGTTTGTAAGAATACTTGTGAATCCTTGAGTGATTACACACAATAAGTGAATAATCAAACTGGAATTAGACCAGGCATGCATGCATCATTAATCGGACAAAACAATTGAGTAAAAATGATAGTTGATTTTTCTCGTTTTGATCAAATGTTCTCCAAACGACTTCGGTTATGAAAAAGTTTTGAGTGTGATTTTAGACTGTCCTTCTGATAGATTTGGCTTTCATCAACCTCCATTCAACTCTGTTAACCATCTTCACCTCCATTGTTTCGCACTGCCGTACACACCCAGGTAAAGCCATTTCAGGCTTCACAGTTTGCTATATGTCTGAGGTTTCTCTGAGATCCTACATGTCCACTACACTGACATACCTGATTATACTTGAACAGATGGAAGTGTATGAAATATATAGCCATGGGACCATTTGGATTTCTTGAGGCTGAAAAGTTGCTGGGGAAGATAAAGCCTCTGCCACAAGTTATTTCTAAAGTTTGAAAATTGCGTGATAAGTAGCAGTTAAACATGATTGAATTGGTTTTCCCTAATAAGTGGGTTGTAAAACCAAAAAAGAAGGTATATATACTATGTTTAAGCCTTGTAATGAATCATGTATCTTGGTTGTGCTTACTTTTATAATCTGCATTGCTTCAAATCGGACTGAGTTTTACCGTATTTGCTTATGAATCAATCAAACGAGGTATAATTACATATGTGAGTTAGGCCAGCGCAATGTGATTGGAGTCAAATTGTAAATTCACTTCCCTGTGTTTGAACAGGAAAGATAAACTTAGAATTTTGATAAAAGATAAAATTTTAAAATTAACATACGCCATTGCCCTGTTTTGAATTAATAAAAGGAATTTAGGATTTCTGTAGAAATTTAGGCAAAGCAGGTGGTCTTGATGAACTATACAGAATTGTCCAGTGCTCTTTGTTGGGAGCGCGATTAGATGGTATGAAAATAAACACTTTCATGTGCTTAATTGGATCACGTGAAGACAGAGTTAGTAAAGCTACACAAATGGCCCTCCCCAGCAACCAAAAGAAAGAAAAATAGCTGACCTCTGAGTTCTACCCCCGGGGGGTCTACCTGACATGGATGATTCTAATGTGGCTGTGCCTTGAAGGGGGTTCCTCGATATCAAAAAAGAAAAAGAAAAAGCAAGTGAAAAATAAAGAATAAAAGCTAGACAACTAGACAAGATTCATATGCTACACACGTAATGCATGTAATACGATTATAATATGATTATTAAAGCTTAATTTGAACTTTCAAAGATTGATTGCAAGCCTGTTGGGAAGTGTTTCTGCACTTCTGCTCATAAGCATTTTTTTAAGAAGCGCTTTTATTTAAAAGCACGTCAAAAATTTTATTAAAAAACCAAGTGTTTTTCGGAGGAAGAAAAAAAACACTTTCTAGTACTTTTAATTTTCTGCTGAACATTGTTAAACACGTTTTTAGTTGTTAAAAAGATTTTTAATCATTTCAATATGACAAAACAACTAGCAAATCTATATCTCCAAGAACAATTACGAATTTCTTTAGTATTTAATTCCTAATCAGAATTGGAACAATGGATAATAATAATAAAATCATCGGATTAAGCCTTTAATGGTTTGCTATGTAGCAAGATGAGCAGAGCTTTGGTGGTCCTTTCTATATCGTAAGGAACACAATTCTTGATATGGACTCATTGCTCGGGTAAATAAAGGACATTGTTCTTTTTCCTTTTTAATTAACAAACTAATCGAAATTACGACAGTCAAATCAGTTGTTTACATTGTAGATGTGGTTTGCCAATTGGCCAAGATAAGTGCGTCCACCCACTTACATCCGAGTTTGATCCCCTTCCACTACATTGGAGTAATTTATAATTTAACTAGAATTATTTTATCTATTTGTATTATAAACCCTTTTTTTTTTTTCTGACTTCAAATTTTCTACATCATGGCTACCAAAAAAAAAAAAAGGTATATAAATCTTTCTTAAGGAGCATCTCTTTTTAAGAGAGTCAAAAGGCATTATATTGTCGTTTTAGATTCACATTTAAGAATTATTCATGTATTCAACGAGGTTTAGTCCAGTGGAAAAGAGTCTTGACTTGCATACTAATGATCTTATATTTGAACTTTATAGCACCTTAGTAGTGTGTGTGAGAAATACCATATAGTTTAGACTATCACTTGTATTTTTTTATTATAAAAATAATCAATAAAATTGAAAATCATATGAGTGTTGAATTATCAATTGTTTTATGAGTCACTTTGTTGGTCTATTTATTTGGTCATAGTTAGATGACTAACTGATTGTCATACTTGTTCATTTTGTATGGATGATCGTTACATGGATAAATATCAAATGGAGGGTCCCGATCTTTGAATCCCAAAACCTTTTAACAAAAAGGATCCATCTTAATAAGTTTTCTTACTCACTATTTATAAATTCATGATTATCAACTGTTTGACTGAAATTCAATGATTCAAATCCCAATAAGCATTTTTAGTTTTTGAAATTTAACCAACTATTAAAGTCTAAAGAGAGAAATTATCATGCAACGGGAATAACACTTTTTGCAATTCCCGACCAATAACATAATGACATGTTGGATAAATTTTTAATATGTCATTATATTATTGACCGGAATAGAAAAATAGTGGTATACCCATTACAAGTAAGTTTTTTTTGCTTCAGAGGGGCAAAAAACTCAACCCTTTCTTTAGAATGGAACTTCTCATTGAATGACAAAGATCACGAGTAACAAGTTATCCTGTAATGAAGTCTTTAAATAAGGTAGGGACTCACAACTCGGTTGGTAAGAGCTATTATTATTCTTCACTTCCTCTTCAAATTTTTAGGTCTCATTTAAACAAAAAGAAGAAAAGTCTTTACATAACATTAACATAGGTCATGTCAACATGTTATTTAAGTATCTAAAAGCGCCCCCAAAAAAAATCATGTTAAATTTTAGAAAAACGCGATAGATTGCATTTGTAATTCAAGTCTCAGGTCCTTAGCCACACAAACTAATCTAAATAAATACAAATAACTACATACAGTTAATACAATGTTAAATGACTTTCTGTGGCTTGACCACAACATAGCATTGAAGCAAACGAGTTTTAGCATTGAATAATTAATAAAGATGTTAAAGCAAAGGAGGCCGGATGGGAAAGAAAAAGCCAGTATTTCTCAAGCATTGTTTGCCTTTTGGTCAAAGCAAATGCAGAATCATTAGACTGCACAAAAATAAGGGCAGCCGAGAGTCCAAGACAAATGCTTCCAAACACTGTCTCTGTTTTATCTCTCTATAATTTTCCTACTTTTTCTTGGATGGAAAAACAGAGGATAGTTAGCTGAGCAAGTCACATTTGTCAGCTACCTAGCACAGTGGCGGAGGTAGAGTTTGACGTCTTGGGGGGCCACAAGCTTAAAATTATGGTATTTTTTTCTGTAATTTCTGCATATACTCTTTATATAGTAAAGGAGATGAGAAGATGGAGGGGGCAAGGCCACTTCAGCCCTGTAAATAGCTCCACCCCTGATCTAGCATTTCATGATACACATCTCTAATAAAAATTGAACTCGCTTATACCCGTGAGTTTCACTTCTGTATAAGAAGTTCTTGTAACAATATTTGATATAAAAAGCACTTTCAATATGTTTCTATGGAAACACTCCCAAACAAATCCTTTTGACCAAAAAAGCAACACTCTCAAACAAACCGGCAATCTATAATCGTATCTTTATATGGTACATCTAGCTTTACTCTACTTCGAGTTGATTTTATGAACCAACAAATCACACGTGTAAAAAAATGAAATACAAAAACCCCACAAGACCATATAACAACTAAGGCCTCGTTTGATTCATGGGAAAGAAGGCTTTGAGATGAGAAATTAATTGCTTTTTTATATTTGGTAAGTTCAGGCATGTGAAATGGTTGTCTGACACATGGGTAAGTATGGGGAAAGTGAAGCCCTCCTCCTCTCTCCTTGGATTTTGTTTTTTCTCTTTATGAAAAGTTTGGGAAAATGAGCCAACATTAAATGCACATTTTTCATTACCATTTTGTCTCTCATTAACAATTTAGAATTACAATATATTATTAAATGCATTTTTTATTTGATTTAGTATGGGTAAATTAAACAAAATCTCTCAGTTACTTTCCCAGCATTACCGAACATGGGAAATGAATCTTCCATCTCTTGGTAAGTAACATGAGAAATGATTTTCCCTCAAATCCATTTCGTTAACCAAATGGGCCCTAAGTACAGAGAGAAATTCTCATGTAACGGAAATAACATTTCTTATTATCCCGAGCAATAAAGCAGTAACACGTAAAATAACTTTTCCACATATTATTGTGTTATTGGCTAAAGATAACAAAACAGTACTATCTCCGTTATAAGTAAGTTTTTTTGCAAAGTGCCCTACTTGTGGGCATAATAAAATGCCCTTGTTATTGACACTAATCTTTTTTGAATATTTCTTTTTTATTGAAAATCCTCTACGAATTTAAATTGCATATTAAATTTCCATACGAGGATTTAATAAATCCTAGTGTCTGACTGATTCTTCGATAAGAATAGTAGCATGGCAGATGGCTGGCACCTCCTATTACCCGGATACATCGTTCATTTCAAGGCAGATATTTTATTATGTTCAGAAACTGAAGGGATTGGGATCTTCTCCAGTCACAATCAAACTGTTCAAACATATCCCATCAGGGAAAAAAAAAAAAAAAAAAGTCATTAGGTTCATCGTTCAAGGTTATTTTTGTCAAGCAAAAGTTCCCAGTTTGTTGGTTCACCTTCACCCTCGCAAATCATTTGATCCAATGCTTCAAGCTAAAACAAACCAATTGAGTATATTGAGAGAGAGAAAGAGAGAGGGAGAGGGGGAGAGAGAGAACAAATGGGACAAAGAAAACAATCATGGAAAGAACATCAACTTTTTTATATATAATTTATTTTGTTTTTTCAAAATGAGATGGTACAAGAATAACTGGAAAACTGGACCTGAAGCAGGAGAAACAGAAGCAGAAGCAGAAGCAGCAGAGCACATTGACAATAAAACCCAGAACATGTTTTGATCCACAAGCAAAAGATACTTTTACAACTGCAACTACAACGCTATTCATGCATCTAACAATGGAGGTTGTACCTAATTTAATTACTAATCAGTTATTATTGAGCTAAAACAAACACCACTTGACTTTACAACTAAAACCCATTACTTGAAGTTATGAATACGATTATCGCTTACTCGAAAAAAAAAAATACCGATTACTTAAATTTTGCTAATATTGCTAATATAATACAATACGAAAAACAATTCAACTTTCTGTATTTTAGTCACTGTATTCTAGTCAACAACAAATACATAACAAGTTGTTACTGCAGTTGGAACTTGACCAAACAGTTGTTGAACTTCAAAGTACAGAAACAAATGAATAATGGTCAAGAAAATGAACAATTCCCAATAGCTGAAAAGAACAATATTTGGTTTTTGATCTTTGAATGAAAAACTGAAAAAAGAGTTTCAGTTTTCACCCATTTGATCTCATTGCTCAAAACAATCAAATTCTGTTTTTTTTTACCTTGGATCCAGGTTTTGGTGGAAAAGTCTGTTACTTTTTTACAGTTTCAATTCAAGCATCAGATAGCACGCTAAAATCATCTTCTTCCTGAGGAGCTGGCAGGTTGAGATCTATGAAACTCTCTCGAACTTCAGTTTTTCCAGCAGCCATTGATCTTGAAGAGCCCGAAAGGTGAGATCTTTTGTGGCCACCAAGAGCTTGGCCAGAACCAAAAATTTTGCAACAAAACGGGCACTCAAATAGCTTCTCACCACCTGCATTGTTGATTGCTTCGTCTTCGTTGCGAAAGCAAATTTTTTTATGTCCGCACATTGCTTGATAAGATCGAAACAGCTTGCTGCATTTCTCGCACCGATTCTTGCCTCGAACTTTCTTCAATTTGATCCCCTCCAATTTCTCCACTGCTTGCTTACCATGTTCTTGATCTTGGTCTGATTGATCTGCTTGCTGCTGATCATTTGTTCTTCTCATCCATACATCTCTTGAGAGCATCATAAGACACATAGCAACGTCTTCTTCAGGAGAAGTATCAGAGACCGAGCCCATTGACTCAGCCAAACTGGGTTGTGTTGAATTTGTCAACATGGGTTTTTTCTGCAACTCCAATTTCTGGCTCTGCTGCTGCTGCTGCTGCCTCTGATTCTCTGTAACAACAACAAATGATCTCCGATTCCGCTTGGATCGTCTCCGAGTTGGGTTTTTTGACTCGGTCTCGCTCTCTCTGTCTTGAATGACAGAGCCAGCATCAACTGCAAAAGAGAACTCAGGATCTGCAAGCCTGAAACTCCTCTTTGGGTTCTCTCTCAACCCATACACCAAACCCTTTTCTTCTTCTTCTCCTTCCTGTAGTTGCTGTTCTTGTTCTGGTTCTGGTTCTGGTTCTTCACCTGAGGATGAAGATGAAGACGAGGCTGACTCAGTGAGTTGCTGGGTCTTTGGGGGAAGAGGAAGAGTGGCCAAGTGAGCCTTCATGTGTCCACCCAATGCTCTGCCATTAGCAAAAGTCCTAGCGCAGAGCTTGCATTTGTGCCTCTCCATTGGCACAGCGCACAGCAGCAGAGCAGAGAGCAAACCAAAGATCAAAGCTTTAAGGCACTATTTCTTGCTTTCTCTCTCTAAAGCATTGGCCTTTGGAGAATACTAGTATGGAGAGAGAGAGAGAGAGAGAGAGATTGGGAACTTAAAAGGAGTAGGTGACAAGCATTCCTTCACCAAAAGACACACACAACCCAAAAAAATAAATATATATATATCATTTTAACATATACAAAATATGAAAGAAAAAAAAACAGTTGTAAAATGTTCAAATAATTAATAATAATCTAATTAGATTTTTCTTTAGTGTGCCAAATTTTTTTATAAAGTGTGATCATGAATGGGGAAAGAGGGACAAGTAACATGCAATCCTTGCCCATTTCAGTAATAAACTCTTCTTTTTTACCACCTTTTGGATTAGGCAATTAAACTCCTTCCATGCCATGTTTTTGAAGGCATGTATGTATATATATATATATATTTAGTGTCAGTTTGGCACTCATTGCCAATGCCATTATGGATTTGTTGGTTTCAAGACCAAATTGATTATGTAACATGGTTTAGTTTTAAATGTATGAGGGGCCATTTTTGGTCATTTTGAATCTCAAATTTCACCAAGGTTTTTTTTTTTTAATCAAGAAATTTCTCACTTGCCCATACTTTTGTTCCTCTTTTGCTTACTTTTTTTCTTCCCATTTGTTCATGATTCTTCTTCCTTTTCTTTTTTCCTTTATTCTTTGAAAATATATACATATATATATATATATTTGGCTTCTTGTTCATTTGCTTAAATGTTGATCAATGCACAAATCTTGCAAAAATAAAAGGTGCCCTTTCTTGGCATGCTTTCTCTCTCTCTCTCTCTCTCTCTCTCTCTCTCTCTCAACTGTTGATTTTTGTGGTCGATTTTACTTTTGTTCTCACACATTTTACCAAATAGGGCCGGCTGTGTTACTTGAATAAAGTAATAAAGGCGAGATTTGAGAACCATAAGCATGAGGGATTCCAAAATTAATGGCTCCCCTTATTAAAGTCAGAAAGATAGTTGGGGTTTGTTGTTGTAACAATAGGCTCTCCCTAAATGATAGGATACGATCATGTGCTATAAAGTTAAAAATAAGAATTTTCAACTTTTTATTTATTTATTTATTTTACAGGCAATATTAGAAAGTAAATTTGAACTCAGGACTTCGAATAGAAGGATAACGACTTTGAACCGCTTCAGTTATAAGCCCGTTATTAGATAATATTGTTTTATTGAATACAATTTGGTATTTATTGCATTTTGATATTCGTACCAACAATGGTAGAGCTATTTATGCTGTTATATTTGAAATTTAAGCCACCACTACCAACCATCTGAGAAATGAGAATCAGTGATAACATCCAAAACATTTACTGTGGTAATTAATATTTGAGAATCTGTTACTTTTTCCTGGGAAATCAGCACCAACTGTTACAATGCAATAAGATGCTTTTAGCATGCCATTGCCGCCCGGTGCTTTTCTATGGACAGTTACATCCAGGCGCCTGCTATTTTGTGCTTTTTCTTTTAACATTTCTAATATTTGTTTTATAATTTGAAGACAGCAAATTAGCGATTTTTACCCTCCTAGTTCAAATATCTTAATTGAGGCGGCCATTATTGGAAATTTTCTTTTCAAACTCGTATATAATGCTACAAATATTTTTTTAAGAATATATAATACAAATTTATAAAAAAACCCAATCCTAGACATGTATTTATAAAAAAACCCAAGCACTATTTAAACATAGAAACACACCCAAAAT